CCCAAGGAAGGGGACAGATGCATGGAGTACCTGAAGTAGGGCAGGGTGTAGTAAGGATCAGGAGCTTTAAACACACAAATAATCAATCTGGGCATGAGCATGGTGAGGGCTTTGACTCAAGCCTGAGGGGTCCCTTGCCATCTCTCTATAGATGTTCTCTAAGAGATGTGCAAGATGGCAGGTCATTGGCCCACATTGGTTCAGAGTGCTGGCAATCAGGGCAAAGGCGAATAACGTGGATTAGGAGGGGCCTCAGTCACAGCCTGCAGTTCAAAGGGGAGCCCTGTGTCCAGCTCCGAGCTCCAGTGGGAAAAAAGCAGATGGAGATCTCCATTCAGGCTTAATAGGCCTGAGTGGGAGCTCTGGAACCTGAGGTGCAGAGAATGGCAGGGTAGGTGGTGGGTAGGGTTAGCATTTTCCTCCTCACCCAAGGGCACCAAAAAGAGGAGATTGTACAGGAAGAGCATGTGGGCAGCAGCCATGCCCAAGAAGTCAAAGATTACCAGGAACATCTTCACCACAGTCTGGTTGGGGTTAAATAAAGTAACTTGGATGGTGCCCACTTTGGACACACTGTGACTCTTCCTTCCCAGAGGGTTCAGATCCACAATGCCCAGTGGGGGTGGGGGCATTTTGCTCAGAAACCTCAAATAAGGTGACAGTGACAGCTAGTGTGACATGCTGGGGGCAGTGGGACCCACTAGCTCCAGTCTCTGCTGTGAAGCCCTCAATGTGGCCAGATGGTGCAAAGCGTCCTTGCAGCAACAAATCCTCAAAGTTGCCCAGCAGGGTACAACTGATAGCAGGGGTAGGAACGGGGAGGCATTGTGGGGACCCAGCAGGCCTGGCCCCTTCCAGAGGCTTTGAAGTTGGCCCAGCTTTAGGTGACAGGCACCTCTCAGCCTCCACCCCATGGGAATGCAGTCTGTTGGGTCCAAAACTGGGCTCCTTGGGCCTAGGCAGCAGGTGGCTCCAGAAGGTGTGGTTTGGGCATCAGAACAGTTGGTAGCAGTAGGGTGGCCCAGGGTTCCCTGGCACCTCCAAAGGGTTGGCCCCTCTTCCTCCGAGCTGACATTTGGGGCTTCTCCAGCAGGAAACAGCCTTCTTCTGGTGGGGCAGGGTCCTGGAGATACAGGGCTGGGGGTGTGTGCTTGGGACTGTGCCCACTGGCAGTGCTTGGGGAGGCACCCTATTGCCCACCCTAGCCACTGGGCTCTTACCCCTTATTTGTGCAAGACTGTGCAAATCAGTGTCAAGTGTGTGCAGCTGGTCCAGAGGGCTGGCTCTGGGGACTGCCCCAGGGACCCCTGTCCCCCTGGATCTGGGAAAGCCTGGTCTCTGTTGTGCAAAGTATTGCAGGAAGCATATGATGGGGGCCAGGAGGAACTCCAGGCCTCTGGAGTGCAGGAAGAGGTGACACTACCTCCTTGTTCCACAAGAGAGGCCGCAATGGGAGAAATGCTGGCTGGCCACACCCAGTCCCGGCCCCAGTCCCTTTGGGCCCAATAGCCTCACAGGAGATGGTTCTTCAGGGGGTAGTCCCTCTCTGGCCCCCAGCCCAGGGCCTCTCTCTAGCTCCTGTGGACCCTCGGTGGGTGGGGCTGGTCGCGTCTGGGCCCTGTGAGGCTCAGAGGCACCAGCTAGAGGGGCAAAGATGGATACTGGTAGACCCTGGGGGATGCCACTACCCCACCAGTACTGCTGGGCTATAGCCCTTGAGCGGGCCACCTCAGAGGGCCCCCTATCTGACTGGAGGCTGTGAAGGGCCAGCCTCTGGCTCAGAGGATGGAGACAGCTCTCTCTGTACATGGCACATAAAGCCCCACATTGGGTCAAGGGCATCATGCCCACACAGCTTTTACGCTGGGTCTGTGTTGGGGCGTCTGGAGATGTCCAGATGAAAAGGCCTCAAACCTAACTGTGCATCCCCTCTTCCCGACTGATGCCTTGTTCCCCTAGCTTGCAGTCTGATTCATGCCCGCTGCACTGGCAAGGTGACTGCCCGCATTCTGTGCAGCTGCTGGGCTCAGCAGGACCCTGTAGTTCTGTAGGTCCTGTTGCACTTGAGGATGTGGTAGTAGAGGCAGAGTTTTAAAACCACAGCAAACACCAAAGGTCTTGCATTCATCTCTCCTAGGGCAGTGAAGCCTGCTCAGTCTAGACTTACATGAGAGACTGCTCAATGACTCTCACAGAAAGATCTTCCCAAGGTGACATTTTCTCCTCCTAAGCCAATAAGGTCATCTCACTCACAGTCCACTTCCAGGAAGTAACCCCAAAATGGACAGAATCTACTGATATCATGACAAAGCTGCTAACTTCTCTTGCTAAAGAAGAGAATAAGACTCTTGAAATTGCCCCATATGGTGGTGCAACTTTTTTGCATACTACGACGGAGAAGTATGAACAGAGTTTTACCTGTGCGTTACAGATTTGTCTACATGAAAATTGCACTCCTTGTTCATTTCTAATAGGGAAAACATTTCTGATGGTATATGATTCCTAAATGAAATGATGCTAACAAATGTTCACATATTTTGTGAGGGAGAACACAGCAAATTGTAAGATATGATCTGCAGATATCAAATTCCTTTTCTTTACTGGAAAACAGGTCTGACTGACTGGCATGATTACGTTGGGGAAAATGCAGCTATAGTTCTCTTAATTTGGAACACGAACGTATATCACAAAGCTAACCAGATCACACTCATTCATCAGCAAACACAAATCAGCCGTGGTTAGCAAATGTGTGTACAAAATACATTGACATCAACATCAATCAGGTCCTTTCTTATAATCAAATCCAGGGAAATAGAAACCTGACATCTAGAACCTAACCACTTGCAAAAGAGCATTTATGTTACCAGCAATTTAAAGGAAATAAATGTTTACTGAGGAGTAGCCTATGCTGAACTCTCATTTTTACATGTATTAAACTACACATATGTTGGCTCATCATTTTAAAACTATATTGGCTTACGCCTGTAATCCTAGCACTTTGGGAGGCCTCGGCAGGTGGATCACCTGATGTCAGGAGTTTGAGACCATCCTGGCCAACATGGTGAAATCTCGTCTCTACTAAAAATACAAAAATTAGCTGGGTGTGTGGCACGCATCTGTAATCTCAGATACCCGGGAGGTGGAGGTTGTAGTGAGCCAAGATCGTGCCACTGCACTCCAGCCTGGGTGACAGAGTGAGCCTCCGTCTCAAAAGCAAAAACAAAAACCTATATTATAATTTATTAAATGTGATTAGGTAGCTCTGAATCCTTAGTGCGTTATTTTTTTAAGGTGTAATAAGACCAGTATTAAAAAAAAAAAAAACCCGTAAAATGTATACTTTTTAAGAAATAACAGCAGTCACTCTTTTATTCCAACATGCTATCTTTATTAAAATATTTTAAACATTTATTGCAAAAATAATAAATGCTTTTATTTTTAAAATGCAAACAATACTTAAGTATAAAAGTAAAAACTGAACATTCCATATAACCCTGGTCCATCCCATTTCCTGCAGAAAACCACTATTAACAGTTTTAGGCTTATACTTCTAGATGTAGTTTTAGCTCCTGAAACTTTGTCTTTTACTAAATACTATATCTTAGAGATGTTTTGATATCAGTACATACAGAGATACCTTATTGTTTCATAGTATTTCATAGAACAGATATACCATAACTTCCTTCCTACTGGTAAACATTTAGATTATTCTCAATGTCTGACACATAAAAACAAAACTGCAGCCATTATTCTTTGCGTGCACATCCCTGCATAATATAAGAACATTTTTGAAGATTTCTAGAAATTGAATTAACGTGTCAAAGGATCTACATAGTTTATATTTTAATACACTGTGTTCATCAAAACATTTTTTTTCTGAGTTTCTCCTTACATTAGATCAGCTGTGTTTTGTTTTGTTTGTCTTAGCTCTTGTTTAACCTCTAGAAAACTAGTGACATGCTCTTGGAGAAGCCCCTCTACACAAGGCCAAAGAAGCTGAGAAAGCACAGAGGAAATAATCAAGGCTCACCTGGGAAAGCAACACAGCTTCACTATCATTCTCTTGCGAAAATTTATCAAAACAAGTATATCAAGTGCTGGGTGTTCAAAACCACACGAATATATATATATATACATATATATGTATTTAATTAAAACCTTAAGTAGTCTTAAATGATGCAGCAAAATATGTCCATTCACATGTGAATATTTATCTTCTTAGATATGAAATGATTTCATATGGCAATATTTTTAAATTCTAAGTTCTTATAAGTTTTACATATTCCATTACTTAAACTTTCATATTTCTCACAAAGACATTCCTCAGGAGTACAATGTTTTAGAACAAAAAATACAGTCAATCTTTACAGAGGGAGGGCAAAGGGTGTAGTCTCCTGTCTACACCTCTGTAGACAGCAGTGAATACATGTAAAAGACAAATAACAAGGCAAGGCCCTTTTACCTTTCAGTAGTCCACAAAATGAAGACTGAATTTGAATTTTGACAGACGTGGCTTTCAGAGACGTCTGACAGAAGCCATGCATGAATTCCTTTTTTTCTCGTTTATAGCTCCCTTCTTACGTAGAAAAAAAAAAAAAATTCCCGAGATGGCTTAGTGATATAAACTATGGAGACAGGTGTGGGTGGTTCTTTTAAGTGCACAATAACCAATAGATCTCTCTCCTGAAAGAATTCTGAGATGCTAAATAAGATATTTCCTGTGGCCAAAAGATTTTCTTCACTAGTTTTTGTCAAAATGTGTTTTCCCAGTTTAAGTTCTCTGACTTTGACTGATGCGGGCCCACTTGCACAAGGCCTTCGCACATACCTCATAGAGTTTATCTCTGGAATGAATTCTTCAATGCCAAATAAGGATGAGCTGCAGGTCACAGCTTTTCTACTGTCATTGAATTCAGAGTGCTTCTCTTCGGTGTGGCTCCTTAGGTGTCAAAGGAAAAAAAAAAACAACCCACAAAAAGGCATTCCTACATCATTTGCACTCAAAGGTTTTTTCCTCCAGAGTGGATCTTACTATGTCGGACAAAAGCAGAGTGGTAGCCAAAGGCCTTTCTACATTCAAGGCACTCATAGGGTTTCTCTCCAGTGTGACTCCTTGCGTGCAGAGTGAGGGAATAGCTGTAGTAAAAACCTTTCCCACATTCTTTACACTCATAGGGCTTTCCTGCAGTGTGTGTCATGCTATGTCGGAAGAAAACAGAGTGGTGGGTGAAGGTCTTCCCGCATTCACTGCACTTATAGGGTATGAATCTTCATGTGCCGGGTTAAGGAAGAGTTGTAGTAAAAGGTTTTCCCACACTCTTTGCACCCAAAGGGTTTTTCTCCAGTGTGGGTCATACGATGCTGGATGAAGACAGAGTGACAGTTGAAGGTCTTTCCACATTCACTGCACTCATAGGGCTTCTCTCCAGTGTGAATCCGGTGGTGGCACAGGAGGTGCGACCTGCGGTTAAAGACCTTTCCACACTCCGTGCACTTACAGGGCTTCTCGCCTGTGTGAATCCTCATGTGTCGAATGAAGTTGACCTTTTCACGAAAGGCTTTTCCACACTCCTGGCATTCATAGGGCTTCACTCCAGTGTGAATCTGCTGATGTCGAACAAGGAGTCCGTTCTTGTTAAACACTTTCCCACATTCCTTGCCTTTGTAAGTCTTCCCTTCACCAACCAAAGTGTCTTTACTTGGTCCCCGGGAGTCACATTCATGGAGACTGTCTCCTGTGGAGACCTGATGCTGTAAAACGCATGAGTGCGGACCATCCCCTGTCCCCAACCCATCGCCTTTAGGGCTCATCTTCCTCCAGAAGGTCTCCGTGGGGGAGACGGTAACCAGACTCAAGCACCCTTCCTGCATTTCCATCCACGTTTTCCCTCACTCACCTCAACCTGGAGGAACTTCTGGCTCTCTGGGTTAGTCTTTCCAGGAGCAAGCCTCCCTAGGACAAGGCTGGCTGGCCCTGGCTTTTACTCTGTCACCTGGACGGCTGCTTTGACAAAGGTCTCTTCCGCTCTTTTACCACTGCTTCAGCTGGTAGATCAGCTCTGGTTTGTATGCCCCAGTAAGAGGGGTCTGCAGGTCTCTGGTGTCACCTCCCAGCACAGGGTCCTCTGGGGCTGGTCCAGCTGCTCCCACTTCTTCCAGGTGAAGATCATGCACACGCCCTGCACCACTGCCTCGGATGCCGCCACAATGGAGCAAAACAAAAGGTCCACGTGGCACCTGCATCAGCATGCGCAGCGGAGTGCTTCCGACTACAGATACCAGAGAGCGCGCGCAGCCTCCACCAGCTGAACTACAAATCCCAGAGACCTCAGTTTCATTTTTAATTCCTGGGAATTTGACCCTCAATTAATTCTAAATGGAAGTTGATGCCAGTTGTGTCAGGGAGGACCTGTGACCTTGCACACAAACATGCACATGAGAACATGCATGTAAAGAACTTGTTCATGCAGGGTGTGGAGAGTGTGTCCTACTTATCACTTAATTTTACCCGCTGACCCGATGATAAACTGTACCCTGGGGCTGGGCATTAAAGTCAATCCAGTCAAAATACTCAATGTGGACAAGACATGGAAATTCAGGATCTCTTTTATATTGTGGATGGTTCTGCAATTAGTATCACTTTGGAAAAGTTTGGTCCTATCTCCTAAAGGTCTTTCCAAAGCAAAGCTTTCTCACGTGTACCAGGAAATGTGTTCCAGAATGGTCGCATTAGCAAACACCTGGAGAGAGTTCAGGAAAGAGGATGGCCTCTACACAGAACACAACACTGTTCAGCTGCCCAGAACCGCTGCCGTCCAATACTGCTCCCAGGGGAGCCAGGGAAGCATCACAGTTTATGCTGCAGAATCCTCAAAAATGAAGGGTTCAACCGTACCAAATCGCTCTGGAGCTGGTGAGGTGTGGAAGCTGTTATATGGGAATTGGTGACAGTGGTTTGAGCTTTGAGCAAGACCCTGATCTACTGCCCTACTCTTCTCAAAATGCAACTGGTTATTAAATTGAAGAAAGGATCGCAGAACTAGGGAATGAGAGGCAAATTGGAAGGTTCTGGCGAGTACTGAAGAGGAAAACTGATAGTCACTGACACATGGACCCCTCACTCCACCCCTCGCAGCTGTTTGAAATGTTCCTTTCCCAGAATCTAATCAGCTCAAGAGGAGAGGCCCAAAGACACCAATTTTGCAATTCTTCCAGTGAGAGGCCCTGGCAGTTTGACTTTTAGCAAATGCTTACTTTGTTTTCTTTTTCTTTCTTCTGTGTTGGCCAGAACCTCTGTCTACTATGCTGAAAAGAAGAGGAGCTCTCAAATGCCATTTTCATTTTCCTGATTTAAAAAAATTCTTCTAATGTTTCATAACTAAGAATGTGTGTAGTGTGAAATTTTGCTGGTATCACCAGCTTGATTACTTTCATATGATGTAAATATTGAGGTCAGAGAAACAAAAGAGCAGGCAGACATGCTAACTGGAAAATCCAACAGAGTTTTCTCACCCGAAGTATTTGGAACATGTCAGTAAGGCCATAATATAAGGCAGAAGCCTCGGCCATGTTGTCCAGACAGCAAGACTCTTCCCACAGATGGGAAGCAGTAGTGGATGGCAATGACTTAGGCAGCTATGCATGAGCTCATTTGAATAGGTTCTGAACTATCTTGCCCAGGACAGTGCCCCCATCAATCTCAGGACACTGCACATTTGACAGTGAAGTTCTGTCCAGTAGTGGTTCTCAAAGTGTCATCGCTGGTCTCAGTTGTGTTCATTTTTAAGAGTTAAAGAGCTGGGCGCAGTGGCTCGCGCCTGTAATTCCAGCACTTTGGGAGGCCGAGGTAGGTGGATCACAAGGTCAGGAGACCAGCCTAACCAACATGGTGAAACCCGTCTCTACTAAAAATACAAAAATTAGCTGAGCGTGATGGGGCACACCTGTAATCCCAACTATTCAGGAGGCTAAGGCATAAGAATTGCTTGAACCGGCGAGGCAGAGGTTGCAGTGAGCCAGGATGGTGCCACTGCACATCAGCCTAAGCAACAGAATAAGACTCTGTCTTGGGAAAAAAAAGAGCTAAAGAAAGGCTGATCACTAAATACATGCAATCTAACCATGATCACGTGGGCAGTTACAAAATTAGTGAGTTTTGTTTATTGGAAATGTTTATTTTTTTCTTTAATGACTTTTTCTGTCAGCATATAGTTTTAATGATATAAAGATATAAAACAGCTCCTAAAATGATAAAAAGTTCCTGTTATTTGAGCTGTCAGTAGCAAAGCTTGTAAGTAATGTGAATATCTCAGCAAAAAGTTGGTACAAATTAGGTCATATCAATAACAATGCCCAGAGTCTGCTCTCTGGAAATTTTCAGGGGGCTTCTCACAAGGGCTCCTCTGGATGACTTAACCAATGTGACTATAGACTGTCATCTGCAATTTTTTGTCCTTGGACACACCCATGGGTCTCCTCTTATCACTATAATCTCGGCATGAACATAAACTCTCTACTATTAGACCAAAGTGTGGCTTTAACAAGACTTTTCTTAAGACTAGGGGGTCACAGAGGGTCTTTCACATATATAATAACAACTGGATACTAGATAGGGCTGTTCGTAGAGTCCTCAGTTCCCAGTCCATTCTCCTGGCCTCCATACGGCTGCCTTCTGCTCAGAATCCATTCTCCCTGCCACCATTTTGGGAAGATGCCAGGTGTTCTCTACCACTCAGGAACACCTCACACGTGCCTCAATTCCACAGTGCCTAGGCCCAAGTCGAAGTCCAGACAGAGGAAGAACTAACTCCAATCCAGACCTGTATTCCCCATTTTCTGTTTCCATCTTTTACAAAGATGCCTAATCAGTGTATTATCTTCTTCCTTCAGTGGAGAATCCATGGCCATTCACACAGTTGTGGCCTTACCCTATGACTCCAATAGTATATCCCTTTAGAACATAATGTCACGTTTCTACAAGATATACGTACTTACTTTTTTGGGTTGAATTGAGCCCCCCAGAAAGATGAAGTCCTAACCTCCAGTGCATGAGCTTGTGACCTTATTTGGAAATAGAATCTTTGCAGATGATCAAGTTAAAATGAAGTCATTAGGATAGGCCCAAATAAAATGTCCTTGCCTCTAAAAACACAGATTCTCTTTATTTTATTTTATTTTTTGATATGGAGTCTCACTCTGTTGCCCAGGCTGGAGTGCAGTGGTGTGATCTTGGCTCACTGCAACCTCCACCTCTTCGGTTCAAGTGATTTTCCTGTCTCAGCCTCCAGAATAGCTGGGACTACATGTGCACACCACCATGCCCAGCTAATTTTTGTATTTTTAGTAGAGACGTGGTTTCACCATGTTGGTCAGGAAGGTTAACCGCTGACCTCAGGTGATCCACCTGCCTTGGCCTCCCAAAGTGCTGGGATTACAGGCGTGAACCACAGTGCCTAGCTGTGATTCTTTATTTTAGAAATACATTCTCCCTTGTATCTTCCTAGTCCTTTATCTTTTATCTCATGCCATCATTTTTCACTTTCTTCCTGGTGATACAGCTAATTATTTGTGCAGCCTGACTCTCTCATCAAACTATAAGTTCTCAAGAGCAGAATTTCCATTGAATTCATCTTTATATCTCTCAGAGTAGGAAACACTGTGCCTTGCATGTGGCCAATAAGCAAATCCATGTTCTGCCTGATTTGATTCCTTCTATAACCCTCAGAAAAAAGTGTTTTATACCCTTCAACCAACGAAGAGAAGTGTGACCAAAGATGAGAATGACCTGTCCACATAGAATTCTTTCACCATTGCTTATTGCTTCAAACAGTATTAAGCCACAGAAACAACAACCAAAACACAAAACCAAGCAAAGCTCATTTATTAATTATCTCTTTTGTGAATCAACTCTTTCTTTGTGTGAGACAGTTCTGTTTCGGCCTGGTAAGGGAGCTGTCCACTTCAAATGCAAAAGCAAATTGTTACTGCAGTCACAGTTTTAGGACCAGCTTCTCTTCCTTTTCTGCTTGTGTCAGGTGCCCTAGGGTCCTGGAGCCATTGCAGATGAGCTCAACAGCTGCCTCTTGGGTCTCCAGGTGGATTCTCAAGTTCTCTCCCCATGGTGGTTGCTGTGGGGGAAGAATGAGTTTCTATTTTACTCAGAAAATACTCTTTATGACTGGAGGTTTCCCAAGTACTTCTGATCTGTTCTACTTGTCTACGATTTGCTGACAAGTTGCTGACTTTTCAATTATATATATGTATAAACATACATATTCATTAGCATGTTTTCCGTTACCAGACTAATAGCAAATCATTCAGATGTTGATGTGAAATGTCACCATTTCATGCTGTAATATTTCACTAAAAAGGTTCAGAAATAGGAAACAGAGAGAAATATTTATTGTTTCTTGATCTAGAAGGGTTGGTAAATTCAAAGTAGTGAAGCTTAGGCTTATGATGGGACTTACTTGTTGAATAACCTTTGGAAAATCACTTCACCATTGAGTTTCTTCACTGGGAAAATGAGGGCTAAGACCAGATTTTCCACATCTAGGAATTTTCTTCTTGCCACATTTATTAAAGGCATAATAATTTAGGTCTCAATTAGCATGCAGTAAAACTATAGGAGAGAGGCTGTGCAGGTCTAGGTAGGATAAATTAATCTCAGGGTACACGAGGAGTAGTAAAGAGAACATGTTGTGAGAAGCAGAATTTGTGAATTCAAAGAACCATTACATTTATAACTTCCATCTGAGATTTAAAGGGCAAATTTCAGATGAACCACCATGTTCCATTTTAATTCAGTATATCTTAGGATTTCCCGCCTCAAAACTCTTAGGTCCTTTGCTAAAAAGTCAGGTTCAGTCTTA